ATATATAAATGTACTATGGATTGTAATAATTGTAAGGTGCTATAACAGGAGTATTTTATTTATATAGCGAGTCCCTAAATAAATGTTACATGCTCGTTAATTGTAAGCTCGATGCGGTTATACTGTCAACGTTGTCATCCACGTGAACCAATGTAAACTGGAATAACATCTAAAGAAAACCCGTTACAATGTAGGGATTATGTTGTCTAGGGTGGGCGATGCGAATTCGTTTTAATATCTAAGCCGATGTTAGCTTTCAGTGTACGACACAATTTTAATGGATACAGAGAAGAAGGGGGAGGGAAGGAAAATCATAATATATAAATATATTTAAAAGAACAACAAAATTTAAATAAGCTATTCTATTAATGTATAATATATTGAAAGATATAATGATTATGCTATCTGAAGTTTATAAATTATTATCTATAATGACTGTTATACTACGTTTAATAGACTTGCCTAGAGCCTATCTGACCTAAGGACCAAAGGCACAATCACACACGCGCATCAAAATAAAATAATATGCTCCCATGTATTGTCGTCACATTTGGTACATAATTCATTACGAATACCGCGACACTGGTGCTTCAACGCTATCAACGATGTTTCACGATTTATCTTCCGAGGGGAAAAATATTTTGTACGTATTTCATTTTATATAGATGTGGAGCTATAAGTGGTCATATTACGTGGCATACAAACGTTATGTTCCATGAGCAATAGCAATATACTTTGTATTATTTTACGTTACCGACAAATGTAATACGAAAATATTGTTCTAAACACATGTAATATCTGCGCCACTTATCATTGAAGCATTGACGTGCCAGGGTCGATGATGCTTTATATCTCTCTTAAGGGATGATGCTTTATATCTCTCTTAAGGGATGATGCTTTATATCTCACATACTTTTGTACAAGTTAATTTTTGTGGACAACATAATACGTCAAGCAGTCAAGCATATATTCTCCCTATACTAATTACATATGTCCCTCCTCAATACTATAATGGCATTAAGCTGTCACTATATACAATAGCATTGCATGGCGTTAAGGTATCAAAAAAGAGACTATAATTTACTATACTATTATGTGAGAGAACTATCAGCGGCATAATAAATAAAATGTTGCATCAGAATTACAATGTCCTCTACAATGGAAAGATAAGGAAAGAGGACACCTATTTCATTCTTTCATTTTATATTTGGACATTCGATAAATAACCAATCAATCACTATCTATTTTTTCGCATCTATCGTGTATATTTTTCTTTTATCTGATTTAACATTTTTTATTGTTTTCAAATATTCTGTTATTTAATTACATTAAAAAAAAAGAAAACTAGTATATTTCGGATATGAACTAAGCAGGATAATTTTACGTAAGTATACATTCTTCATATTATAAACTTTTTTTTGTAAATAAAGAAAAATACTGCGTAAATCTTCTAGTCGATACGTTACAGGGAAAGGATGTGGGAAAGTAAGTATGTTTTTTTTCCATTTACATAAGTAATTTTATTTAATGAAAAAAATCCAAATTCACAATCAAATTGTTCCGTTTTTACGTTGTAATCTAAACAATATTATCGGATTTTATCGAAACAAAAATTATACAAATTAATTTGCACATTTTCGCCTTTGCTAATATCAAATAATATCGAAATGCAGCACACTGTAATCTCCTTTTATAACGAAGGATATGCATTGAATAATTGCACTAATTACATAACAAAACGCATGTCCTAAGAATTAAATGTGGCACGCGTTACGTGTTGTACTGAATAGCTATATTACTAACAACGTATGTGTTAACCGATTGAAACAATAATAAAAGAACGCCAAGACGGGAAAGTTACAGAGAACTTATTCCTTCTCATGCATCTTTTATTAATTTAATATTTAATTTATTATTTTAGCAATTTACTAGTAAGTTCTAAAATCTCATCAAAATTTGACATGTCTAATTGTACGTTACTTCGCTTCCTGAAAGATAATTTTTAACGAGAGACATTCCAACATATAAAAAGAGTACTTATTGAGTGATATATAGTGATATTTCATTTTCTGAGTTAATAATATATGTATATGTATATTTCACAAATTGGCAGATAATACAAGACATAAAAAAGAAATATACAAAGAAAAACAATTATATAAAGGTGGTATGCATATTGATTATGTACAAACGTAGATCTGATTAATCTGACGCGTACGCAAAATTTAACTCCATATGCTAAATATTTGTAATTTCCCTATTTGAAAGAATTTACGCTCCTATAAAAATTTACAAATATTAAAAACAACTATTCAAACTGGAACACGATGTTACCCATAAACTGACGATTTATTTGTAGATACATACAGTGAGATGAGCTACTCGACAGAAGGAAACTTTGACGTGTAATTGTATTTTTCAAACGAATAGATGTCCCCATATATGTTCTCGTGATGTATCTTTTTTATTATTAAACTGCAGGTCATCAGATCTGCAAGGAGAATGATATATATCACATGCTGAATGAGCACTATTCAGTTTATTGCTTATACTAAAATAAACTAAATAAAAAAAAATAAAGAGAAAAATAGACTAAGCTTTTTAACTGCTATTGTATATAAAACAAGTGTAGAAAAGCTAAAAAATAAAAAAATTATAATATAACATAAATATATAGAATATATATATAATTTGAAAGAATATATAAAAACTTACATTGTCAACATCATCTTCATCATCATCGCTAATTTCATCCCCAAATTCGATGTCTTCATCGAATCCGTCTTCCACAAAGGTTACTGTATCGTTGATACGCACTAAGAAAACATTTTATGTTAGAAAATATATAAAATAGAAATTTTTTTAGATAAAAAAATTGTTTTACAACTTATAAAATAATTTACAAGATTAAGAATTTAACCAAAAATTAGGAGAGGTCTACTAAACTACACTTCGCAATTTCCATTGCAAAATGTACTAGAATACTTACCAGTTTCTGGGAATTCGCCATAAGTCTTCAAGTTACGTGCTTCGTCAGACGTGTACTTCAATATAACATCTGCCTTAGCATCCTGGTAGTCTCGCAGTCCGATCAGTATGATATCTCCTTGATTAATCCACACCTTCTTCCGCAGTTTGCCTCGGATGTGGCACAATCGTTTGACCCCGTCGAAACACATGGCCTCTAACCTACCATTGCCCAGCATTTTTGTCACTTGAGCGTATTCTGCGCAAAACAAACATCGAGTAAGTCACCGACACTCATTCCCGAGAGAACGTCGCGTCATTCGCACCATGTTTCACTCTCACCTTGTCCATCTTCCTTGAACACCAGTTCTCTCTTCTCAGTCTCGTTCTCATTCTTTCCTCTTCTCCTATTTTTACCTCCCTTTCCTGCGAACAAAGCCTTGCGTGATAATGTTCTCAGCGAGTCGTGCGAAAGGGTGAAAATACTTGAGACTCGAGTCACCTCGAGGATGACGTTGACGCAAATTAGGTTAAGTTAACAAACTTAACCACATTAGTGGGACAAAACGCAATAATTGAAAAATCGAGAATTCAAGACGCGGGATAGAATCGAGGTTGCATTTACCTTTATTCTTTGGCATGATGCTCTAGCACGATTTTTCTCAACGACGAAGATACAAATAATTCGACGAAAAGTGACAATGCGGTGGTACGCTTCGAAGATCCTTGCGAGTTGTGGCAGAGTGTAGAGCTGCTACAGAGATAGTCGATTGCGGACTGTGAGATGTCAGCCTAAAATGAAACTGCTCTTCGTTTCTTCAGTTTTGATATCTAGACGATAAATATTCTCGTAATTTTCAATTAACAAATCGGTGGAAGAAAATGGGCATGTAACGAGAAAAAATTTACGGAAAATTTCGATTAACAACAAAATTGACTCGAGAACCGTACACTTCCGGCTTGCCCAAGGTTCACGGATGTTACGACATAAATTCCGCAATTTCCAAATCGTTGGATACGTCCATTCTTCTTAACATTAGACTATACTAAACTGATTAAAACTGTCTAAAGAGTACTGTCTAAAGAGAGATTGAGTGATGGAAGCTTCTAGAAGACGAAAATTGGGATTGAAATGTAAAAGAAATTTATTTAAATGCCTCTTACATTTCGTTTCCTAGAAACTTCGTTTACGATTTTATTGTTGTTTTTCCCTACATTCGACTTTTATACTCCGATTTTTATTTTCGTCACGGATTGCTCTCTTATTTAGAAATCTCCGAGATATAATAATATCTTGTCGCTGACGGATGTAGTGGTAGATAGCTCTTTATAATTACATTGTTCTTTATAATTACATTGCGTCGCGCTTTCTGCACTCAAAATAAAATGGATATATACAATTAGACATTAGAGAGAAAAAGAGGAAGAATGATAAGTCCATTGCGCACTCTTTCCATAGAGTACTAGCTACAGAGAAAATGTATATCTCTTAATTTAGCGATTAATCTTAAAAGTTGAGATAATTAAGGATAAATAATTAATGTTTACAATATTTTACGACTAAAACACTCGTATTTTACATTTTTTAATAAATGTACGACAGGAAAAGAACTTGATACAATTATACACGGTCGCTCCATTGTGAAAGGTTATCTAACCAATAAATAGATATTCCAAATTGTGATTGGATAAGTTGTTATGTTATCCAAAGTGACAGTTAATATTATTAAGAGATCGGTGTGTTACAATGCGCGTACACTTTGTTACCTACGAGATCCTTTACAATCGAATCTCTTGTGTAATGGCGTTGCAAAACCAAATAGTGTACAAAATCATTGTCACTTGTACATAGCAAAAAGATTCAAATCCAAAAAGAAGGCTGCTAATATTGTAATTAATATAATTTATTTCTTTTCCTTAATATGACCTATTTAACGTCTTCCACTTATTTGTCTCTTCGGTAAGCTTTTAAACACAGATGAATATATTCTCTCTGAAAATATATTGCAGAAGAAAGATGAGAATGAGGATTCTGACGAGGAGAAAGAGAAAGACGAGGAGGAAGCTCTCATAGGTTCAAAAGTTATCAAAGTAAGGGTACCTTCTATTCGATTGGATACCATTTCCAAAGCTGGATTTGGAATTTCTCGCAAGTATGTCTAATTTTACTTTATGTACTATATTTGTACAAATATAACATATTGCTTTATAATTTATATTTTTATTTAAATCTTATTTACTTCACATTTTTCTTAGTAAAATTGATGAAGCCTTTTATGCAAGCAAAATTCGTACAAATGGAAATAAAACATTAAAGAAATCTAAAGAGGTAAGTTTACTATTTTTGGAATAAAACTGAAACCTACTGATATAGTCGTAGTAAAATTATAATTATCTTTATATCTTGTACATAATTATACATGTAGAATAATTGTAACAGATGGAAATAGGAGATGAAATCGATTTAATTTTACATCGAAGTGTGGATAATCCTGAACTGCTAGTTATAAACAGAATTGTGATATTATCAATGGATCCTGTAAATGACGGTATACAAATGAAATTATCTGTAGATAAAAACTTACTAATTGAAGATTATGAGGATTCATATTTATAATTTAAAGTTGAACTTTTTTGCATGTCAATATTAAAATTGCATATTGTACATAATAAAGATATTAATATTATATTTAAATAATTCTTAGTAATTTAATAATTTATCCTTGACCTATTTATATGTATTACATAATATATTTATGTATGGGAATATAAAAGGAGAAATTCGAAAATAAGAAATACATTAAAATTGTAGAACACACTAACATATATGTTATTTTATTCTGTAATTTCTTTTATTTTGTCAGAGATTGGCTGCTGAATTGCTCCTACTTCTTGCAACAAATCTTGTTTAGATTCAAAGTATTCTTTATACCACATAATATGTCCAATTTTCTCTTGAACTGTCAAGTATGGATTCTTTGAAAGTCCAGTGCACACTAATTCCATAAAATGACGAATTGGTCCTGCTTTAGGACACCATCCCTTCAGATTACGTTCCATAAAGACATGTTCTGAGAAATGAACATTTTGCTCTTCTTCCATTCCTGAAATATATAAAAATAATTAAACTCAGTTATTCCAAGTGCCAAAAGAACATAATATATAAGCACGTGTAGTAGAAACCTTGCTCATTGTCAATAGGGAATTTCCATAATTTTCCTTGCTCCGTCCATAGAATTAGTTCTTGAAAAACATTAGCAGGTGGATGAGTTGTCAATGATTTTAATTCTCTTTGTTCTAATGCCGCCCATGTTTTCAATTCCGGTATATTTGGTGAAGGGGCATTCATATTTTCAAAAATGTTAGTAGGCTTTCCATTCCACAAATTGATATTTTCGAATCTATCATATAATCAATTAAAAATTATACGTTAAATATATATTTAAAATATATTAAAATATCTAAATATATTAGATTATAATATAATATAATAAATAAATAATATCATATAATTTGTATAAATGAATAGATTTAATCTCTATAATATAATAATAATTAATATTATATTTCTTGTAATACCTGGCACGAGGCGTTCTTTCACGTTTAGTATCCTGTAACATCTCTTTAGATGGTGTAACACTTCGTAATAACTTTCTTGATATACTATCTTCAATTGCTTTCTTTATTGGTTGCTTATTATATTCGTCTAGCAGGTTTTGTATTATAGACTTTTTTTCTAAATGTTTTGTTTGTCCTTGGGAATTTTTTTGCACATCATATTTTGACAATTGTTTAACATTTTTACTATTAAATAAAATTATATCATAAAAATATTTTTAAAAAAACTTATGAAATTACAAGTAATGTATATGTGTAAACATATACATATTACTATATGTAATATATATAATTTATTGTACTCAATGATGCAACAATACATTTACATACGTGCTTTCTTGTATTTTTTTCAATGCTTTTACTCTAGATGCAAGAATTTTTTCAAGCAAGTCTGATGTTGTTTTGGTTTTATCTCCACCAAGCGTGTTAGCCACATCTTCTGCCGCATTTACTATTTTCTTTTCTACAAAAAAAAAAAATAATTAAACACATCAGGCAAGATGTAAACCTGCACAAAGATAGAATTATCAATAGATAAAGTTACCAAAAGATTCATGTTTTTTATTTGATATTTCCTTCTTCTTTTTAGGCTGCATAGCAACATCAATAGTTTTCTGCATCTTTCTTGTCTAAAAAAGTAATAACAGATATCTTCATTAAAGTATATACTAGCTTACATTTGTCTCTGAAAAATATCTCATTATATATTACTTTTAAATGTATATCAACATTTTACTTTAAAATATAACACAATTTAGCACACATTATTATTATTTAAATACTCAGTTTGATTTCTGTGTTCTGAAATGCAATAATTTAAAAAAAATTATTTTTAAATATTAGAACATTTTCAAAAAAGAAAATGTTTTTATTATTTTTTTTAAAGTAAGAACTTTTATTGTTAGTATCTCTGTATGTTTACTAAAAATAGAGTAAAATAATAGAGATTCCTAATAGAAATGAAATAATATATTCTGGATTTAACATAATTAAAAATAGATATCATTACATAAAAATTTCATAATTTACTTGTAGCATGTTCTTCAAGAAGTTTTCCAAATCATATTTGTTATCTGATGTTGCACTTGCAGAACTTGCACTTTTAACATGCGTTGTCTTTGGTTTTATTTTTTCAGAATCAGAATCAGAATCTGATGAATCTGATGATGATGAAGATGAAGAGCACAATCTCGTGGAAATATTTATCCATTGAAATAATATTCCGCTTGAGGATCTTATATTACATCTGTGAAATATATTTCTTGATATAATAAAAAAATTATCAATTAATAGATAGTATTTTATACAGAATAATACAAGTCTAATAAAAACATTAATCAATAATAATATAATAAATCACTTTATACAGCATAACTATATGTATGTGCATAAAAAAATAAAGATCTAGTTTAATTATAAAATTTTAAATGAGAGAGAGAGAGAGAGAGAGAGAGAGAGAGAGAGAGAGAGAGAGATGCAAACTATGTAGATAAAATATAAATTGAAAAATATACTAAACAACTCATTTTTTATACCCTTGAAGATATATAATCGTGTTTATATAATATTTCATTATTTTATTCTCATTATATATATATATATAATAAAAATTCTATACATTAAGCCATAGAAAACTTTCTCGACAGACATCTTAATATACAACATTTTCAACTATCTATTAATTTCAATATAGTGCAAATGTACTTACTTTGATAATATGTATAAGGGCAACATATTTGCAAATATTTTACAACTCAATTTTACCACACTGAGAAATGAGCACAAGATAGCACTTGAAAGAGTCTCTTATTCAGGAACAAGTAATTGTATAGAGGCCGTAGAATCTAATAAGAAAAAATTAAATCGAGTTGACAGTCGCATGTTAATAGTAGCGACAATAATGCATTATATGTCAAATACTTACATACAAAGATTAATAACAAATGTAATTACAAAATTAAAAGATTAAAAATAAGAAATCCTAACCTAAAGAAAATAGTTTGAAAGCGATCATTTCGGCGATGTTATCATTTATCACATGGCCTGCGCCATATTGGGAATAGATACTAGCACCTCTGAATCTGAACTTAGGAGGCATTACATTCTCTTCTGCCCTATCGTCGGTAAAAGAATTTATTAGAGTGTAGTTTCTAACAATTAATGAATTTAAATATAAAAATGATGAAATCGCCTTGCATCATTTGTAAAAAAAAATATAGCAAATCAATTTAAAAGTGTAAAAATTATTAATAATATTAATTAAAAGTTATCTCAATTCACCAGTGA